TCCTAACTGGTACGTGAGATATGCTTTGTTGTTACTCACATCGCTTAGATCATATGTCGGGCAGGGTTTGTAACAAGATACCACCTTGAACAAGGTGGCTGTATGGATATATCAAGGCCACTATTCACCGACCCACCCTTGAGTCCAGTGACACCGTCCTCCCCCTTCCCTTTCCAATGACACACACACACACACACACTGCTCACTCGCACACGCAATTCTTTCTTCGTTTTATGTACATTTACTAATTGCATGCTTTTCCTTGTGTGTTTATTACAGTCAATGTCGTGCATGTGTTCTTAATTCAATATAGCTGTTCCTAATCCACAGATTGCAATTTGAATTACGAACTGGTTCAAGTTGGGAAAAAAAATTCCAACACATTCATGATACTTCCTATATAAATCTGTAACTCAATCATGTGATATATTCTCTGTGTGGGTTCCGAGGCCCTGTTATAGGGAAAACATGAATAGACCCACTGCCTACCCAGAAGCATATCGTAAGAGTCGACTAACTCAGAGCTTCCTTCAAACTTCGGAGTGCATCTACCTGAGAGGCAAGGAACCAGCAGTCTGCATACAAATGAGTTAGAATGTACCTGCAACACTCAGGGTCTGAAACAGTACTACAGTCCAGAAGTGGATGAACAACCAGAACTTTCCGCCAGAGTCTGAAACCGGTGAATGTGAAGAAGAAGAAGAAATTTGATATATAATTTTTACCTGTTAATGATTTCTTTAAAATATAGTATAATTATAAAGAGCTATCTTCCGAATAATGGTGCCAAATTATCGCGGCCAGAAATATACCCTAACAGGGCCTCAGTCATGTGTCAGTTGCGGACTTCTGGCAACTTAAATTGTGCACTTCCGGCAACTACCGCCACTGCCGAGAGAATCTAAACTAGATGGCTGGGACTCATGAGCAGCAGCTACCGCATCTCCTCAGCTTCCTTCATTTTATTTCCTTGTGAGTCCCAGCCATCTAGTTTCACCCCCAATCCACACTGCGCATAGCGGCATGGGAGATACTGTCTGCGGAAGTCCGCAGTTGACACGCGACTGAGGCCCTGTTAGGGTATATTGTCGGCCTCGATAATTTGGGGCCGTTATTTGGAAGATAGCCTTAAAAAGTAATTATAACGTTTATCTGTTGTCCAGGAGGTGTGTGTTAAATCAGTCAGCCACTTCACAAATCATGACAAAATTGCCACTCAACATACAGGGAAAGATATAAACACCAACAAAAAGTATATCTCAACATACAAGGAAAGATATAAACCACAAAAAGTATATCTCAACATACAGGGAAAGATATAAAACACCAACAAAAAGTATATCTCAACATACAGGGAAAGATATAAACACCAACAAAAAGTATATCTCAACATACAAGGAAAGATATAAACCACAAAAAGTATATCTCAACATACAGGGAAAGATATAAACACCAACAAAAAGTATATCTCAACATACAGGGAAAGATATAAACACCAACAAAAAGTATATCTCAACATACAAGGAAAGATATAAACCACAAAAAGTATATCTCAACATACAGGGAAAGATATAAACACCAACAAAAAGTATATCTCAACATACAGGGAAAGATATAAACACCAACAAAAAGTATATCTCAACATACAGGGAAAGATATAAAACCCACAAAAAGTATATCTCAACATACAGGGAAAGATATAAACACCAACAAAAAGTATATCTCAACATACAGGGAAAGATATAAACACCAACAAAAAGTATATCTCAACATACAGGGAAAGATATAAACACCAACAAAAAGTATATCTCAACATACAGGGAAAGATATAAACACCAACAAAAAGTATATCTCAACATACAAGGAAAGATATAAACACCAACAAAAAGTATATCTCAACATACAAGGAAAGATATAAACACCAACAAAAAGTATATCTCAACATACAAGGAAAGATATAAACACCAACAAAAAGTATATCTCAACATACAGGGAAAGATATAAACACCAACAAAAAGTATATCTCAACATACAGGGAAAGATATAAACACCAACAAAAAGTATATCTCAACATACAGGGAAAGATATAAACACCAACAAAAAGTATATCTCAACATACAGGGAAAGATATAAACACCAACAAAAAGTATATCTCAACATACAGGGAAAGATATAAACACCAACAAAAAAGTATATCTCAACATACAGGGAAAGATATAAACACCAACAAAAAGTATATCTCAACATACAGGGAAAGATATAAACACCAACAAAAAGTATATCTCAACATACAGGGAAAGATATAAACACCAACAAAAAGTATATCTCAACATACAGACACATTGGAACTTATTTCACCCTTAGTTAACCAGTACCAGTGTTTAAACTGTTTATTGGGGGGGGGCTGCTTGGTCTTGAGACATGGTATCCGCCTCGAATTCTAGAGGTCCCAGGTTCAGGTCTCGGTGAAGGCTAGGATTTTTTTAAGTGGACTTCTAGTAATTTCCACTGGGCTCTGTGTATTGTTGCACACGTAAAAATATCCCTTGTCAGTTGGAAATCGAAAAAAGTAGCCTAACAGCGCTGCCAAAATTTGGAGTTTAAAATCAAACCAAAATATTTCAAGATCCACGCCGGTGCTATGGAGCCCGTGCACTGTGCAGAGCTACTTTGGACTCAGACATGAGTTAGAAGTAGAACAAAGCACTTAGGATTACTACCCTTGTGCCATGATGCTGATCCAATGTGCAAACCTCAAACTTTTTTTTTTTTTTTTGATAATTCAGATGTAACACACCAATCTTAGTATTTTGCAGCACCTGACACTGCAGAAATGAGTTTCTTTGTTGAGAACAATTAAAGCAATTTATTAAAATTATATCAGCCAGAAAGGCTAACCCGTCAACAAATGTCTGTACAAGTCAAATGTGTTGACCGAAAAGTGCAAATTTTGCATCTATGCTGTAAATGGGCACAGTGCATTTATATCAGAGGAACTGAGAAGAAGAAGAAAAATGTACTTCAGTAAAATTAATTTGTATCACATGTGGAAATAGTTTTAAAAAAATTTTTTTTTTTTAATCTGAGAAACAGAAACATTGTTAGAGGCACAGAAATATGCTTACTAAAATGCTACATATGTCCTCTTCCTTTGAATGCATGAGAATCATCGGTTAAATAATCAAATGATAGAAGAGGAGAAGAGTAAATATGAATTTTTTTACTCAAGTTGAGAATATGGGTCAAAACAAAATAAACGCTGAAGTGTGACATATGCAGGTATTACTACATCACTTATTCAAATTATTAAAAAATGACCTTAAATTTATGGGCACATCAACACAAGACATGTAACAAAAACTTTAGCCTTACATTTGAAAAACTATACGGGAAAAGGGGGAAGAGAGGCAGGCGAAGACAAAACACAATATATGTGCAAAGCTGTACTTTTTGAGTCCCAGAGAACGCATTATACGTTCATAGTTTCCTACCTAGAGGCCCAATGAACGCATGATGTGCCGATTTAACGTCCCTCTTGACTGCCCCTTGGGCCTCTGATGATGAGCTTCCTGGGACTCAAAAGAGTTAAACAGCTTGGCAGCAAATGATATCATAAACTAGATTCATGAACATTTAGATAACAGGGACTGCAGAGTCAGAATTTCCATTGTGTGTTCCAGATCAGGCACCTAAAGAAGAAGAAAAAGAGTGCATTGATTATTACTTTGTGTGAAGGATCTACATCTAAAAAAACAGTTCCTGCAGATGTTTACAATAATACATAGTCAAGGGGAAGTCGCCGTGGTGTTGGCGGCTTGACACCAGCCTGCGGATTGGAAGGTCATGGGTTCGCGTACTGACGAAGCCAGACTTTTTTTTTTTTTTTTTTTTTTAAATGACCTTGACTCTCAGGTCGACCCAGCCTTGATCAGGTGCCAGGTGCAGTCCTGGAAAGTAAAGGCGGCTGGCGTGATGCTAACCACATCACCCACCAAGTGCCAGTTGGTCTATCAAAACTAGGTCTAGGCTTATATTCCCAGTGTACCTAAAGGCGTGGAAGAGAGATCTTTACTTTTACATAGTCAAAGATCTTCTTCATGGGGATGCCGTTCAACTCATGCTGTTCAATTTTTTTTTTTTCAATGTTCGCTGGCTGTAAATTCCAGCAGAAAGTTGTAGTTGTTCGACTTCTGAACTTGAGTCTTGTTCCAGAACTTGAGTGTTGCGTGCTCATTTTTTGTTTTACAGATTTGTCTTATTTGTATACACATTGTAGGTTCTTCACCTCCTTGCCTCTCAGACAGATGCCAGACTTGCACACCAGCTCCAAAGGAAAACTCACTAATTAGTCAACTTTTACCACATGCTTGTTCCATTGTGGGTTTTTTTCTCCGACAATGGTGTCCCTGGCCCACACAGGGAACTTCATGCTCTGAAGAGTGCAGGTTTGTTTTATGGCAAGCCACTAGATTCATGAGTGTACATTTAACAGAGGCTGGAGCTACGGTGTTCATGCTTTGTTCTGCGTCTCAGAAGGGTGAGCAGAAGGAGACTAAGCCATGTGGAGATTAAACCTGGGGCATTGGTGTTGATCCTCTCAACCTCAGTAAATACAAAGTTAACCGTTTAAACCTTAAAGTTAACAGAGCTTTTTTGGAGTTTCAGTGCCAAAAAGACGAAGCCTTCAGGAAAAAATATTTTGAATTTACACACAACAAATTATAAGAAAATAATCGCGTGTAATTAACATATACAAAAATATGTATATTCGGGAGGGAAAATCAATTAACTAACAGAATATATATGAGTCAAACTGAAATCTCAACATTTATTTATGTTAACTATTATGATTTGCATAATTTATGCAGGCATTTTTTGTGCTTAAGTGTGGTTTTTTATTTTGTAAATAGTTTTAATATGAATTTTATTTACAATTAATTATAATTAAATTGTCATAACTTTTCTCATTAAATATAATCTTGTTCCAGAGTAAATAAAGAATGAATATGAGGACACCGGCTTCACTTCTGAATGAAGATGATCCAGATATTATTCCCATTGTCCAGAACCAAGAAGTTGACTTTTCGGAGTATATGTGGATGGAAGAGATGGAGGAGTTTGATAGGCAGGTATGTTCTCTTAACTTCCTCACCGGGTGGCAGGTTAACTGGGGAACTTGATATTTCATTCACAATTCACATCTCCAGTATGGTGTTTTTATTTTTGCTTTTGTTAACCAGTAACATATAGAGTATCATTGTGTTAACAACTGACATCACAGCACTCTCATAAGCAGTTCAGCTCTACCTTCAGCAGCCAGTGCAGAGTTCTAGTTCTGTCGGTACCAGTAACAGCGACGCTCACCTGTGGATTGGAAGGTCGTGGGTTCCGGTCCTGATGGCTTTTTTTTTTTCAAAAATGACCTTGGCTCCTAGGTTTACGTAGCCTTGAATGGGTACCAAGTGCAGTCCTGCGAAGTAAAGGTGGCCAGCGTGATGCTGACCAATGTACATTACCCACCTAGTGCTGACTGTCTATAAACCATTGGTCTAGCCCTAAATGCCTAATACATCTGAAGGCGTGCGGTCACTCCTGGCTACACCATTCTTTGCAGACCATGATGTGTTTGTGCTTAACATTTAGATGTACACTTCAGCTCAAGAATTCACAACATCCCTCCTTGCTTTTACACATATTATATGCTTATCTGGTAATGGAAGTCTGATACTTTGGCACAATTGTGGTTTGATAACAAAAGAAAGGCTGGTATCTGTTAGGAGGTTGATGTAGCAACCTTCATCCTGACACAGTCCCAAGTTTAATTAGTAAGGGCTTTGTGTGGTAGTGTCTTCCTGCTCTTTCCAGGCTCAGAAACCAGGGCAGCTTCACATTTGCTGAGAGGTAAATTAGGATATAAAGAGTCTGAACACATAGCACAACTGAGAACCTGACAGGGGAAAAGACACTGTCTTTATTATCACACAAAGCAATCAAAATACTTTATGTTACATACATCCTTGCATACACATATATACTGAGTGATTTTCTAACTTACTTGCTTGCTTACATTTTAATATTATTAAAGAAATCTACTAGGATCTACTGCAAAACGTTCTGGGACTGGAAGAGTTAAATTGTAATGAGGACTCTTCCTTTTCTTCTTCTTCTTCTGCTGCTGCTGCTGCTTCTTATTCTTTTTTCTTCTTCTTCTTTTTTTGTGGTCACCATTAAACCTCATGAGAATCAGACAAAAATTACTATTCCTCAAATTTCATTTTTTCAAAAGCAGCCTAGTAATTCTGTGAAACTCTTTCTATCCTAAGAAACTAGAAGAGGAGGAAGAAGAAATTGTGAGTCTTGAACATTTTTTAAAAAATAAATATACAAGGGGTCGAACCCCTTGACCACAGAGCAGACAGGCAGGCATAAAGTCTTCTCCTTCTTTGATGATGTCATGTTGCATAAAAAAATAAACCAAAAATATTTTTTTCATTCACAAAATGTCTAAATCGGGAAAGGATTAATTTGTGAGTCAAGGGAAGTAACTGATTTCATTTTCTTTACCATATAAAAGAGGTTCTGGTCAGTTCTCCACAAAGAGCAGTGTGATGCATATAAAATTAAATGACCTCGCAGTGACAACGTCACGATTTTAACCAAAAATGTTCACCCCAGATAATCTTACATCTTCTAGATAAATATAATCATTCCCACAGCGTCTGCACACTTTAGATACTGTTGCAACCATCACCAAAGCTGTTTTACAAGTGTAGTGACCACTGTCCGAAGACATTAGTGTACTATTACAACATTGTAGAATCCAGTTTCGTCCTTTTTAGGATGAATTTTTTTGTTATTTGAAGCCCCACCCTGGCTTTTGCCAGGGGCCGCAATATAGGCAGGCCATAAATATAGCCAATTGTCTGGACGCGGTTTCTGGGACCTCTCCACGGCGATTCTCATCAACATGGTGGCACTTCGTGTCATCGGGTGTTTGTCGCTTGTGTGATGTCCTGGTGGGGTAGAAAGTCAGCCAGTCAGTTAGTCAGTCATTCGGTCAGTCAGTCCGAAGACATTGGGCCGTCAAAAAACCCAGCAAGCCAAGATCTCGACATTTATGAAGCGACTGGGTTAAAAATAAAAATGCTTTGTGTGGTTTACAGTTAGGCTGTGGTATCTGCACCTTTTGACCTAACACATCCAATTTCTACAAATCCTTAGTCGCCTTTTTTGACAAGTTTGATAAGAAGCAGTGAGTCTTTTATTTTTTCTTTTAAAAAAATGGAGCCTTGGAACTCACACGGGGCGTGAGGACTCTCAGATTTGATATTGAGAAACCATAAGTGAATATTTTTTGGTGAAATGGAAATGAGACAGTAAAGTGAAGAGGAAATAAAACAGCAGACATTACTGGGTCTTGGATTGAAACAGCTCTGAGAAAGAATCACAAGAAATATAACTAAGGAAGTACACACAGCTAGTAAGGTAACCTATGAAGCTATATTCAGCATTTCTTATTGGAAAATGAACATCAGTAAGCTTGCTGAGAGATAAGTAAATCTGTTCCTTGGTAACAGTAAATGTGTATTTTGTTGGTTACTGTATTATTGAAAGTTTAGACAAACTGTGAAGATTATAACTAACAATCCAACTAACATTCCACATCTGTATGTTCTAAAGATCATGAATGACAGTATACAGAACTCTGATAGGACCAGGTCTGGGAAAAGATACCCTTTCTTTTATAATTATTTAGACACTAGAGTTTTCTTACCTGCTAATGTAACATTGATGTATGTCCTGGAGAAGCAAAAGAAAATGGAGATAGAAATAATGTCAAGAGATAGAATGGATATCATTAAAACAGTAAACAGCAACAAGAATAGAAGATGAAGTGGTGCTTACTTCCACAATTTTGTTATCACAAAGGATAACAACTTGTTCTAGACTGCTTACTGATTTGAGAATCCACATCCTAGCACACGAGCACCGTCTCCCGCTGCAGTTGTCTTAAGGTGTTGATGCTAATTGTTCCCATACCACACTGATTATGAACGTGTATTTCTTTTCCTCTCCAAATCCCTCCTTTCTGTATCCACACCTGATTTCTCTTCTACACATTTTTACGCATGTTATTTTATCTAACCTCATGTCTTCTATCAACATTCATCCATAAATGGTCTTCAGAATGTCTCCTTTGTCCAAAATAAGTATTCCTAAAGCTATCACTTTTGTAACCAGACATTCAGCTCTTTCATTCCCTTGCTCGCCTGCATATCTAGATAGTATATCCATATGTATGTTCTAGACATCAGCTAGTATATCCTAGTGGTTTATTCCCATGTAAACTTTTTATCATGGCTGTTTCTTTCAGCTGTTTCTATTTTTTGTTTACTGTGTTCAAGAAGGAAAAGTCCCTGTGTCAGTCCAGTGCCCCATTGTGGGAAAATAAGAATAGACCCACTGCCTCCCCTACAAGCATATCGTAGAGTCAACTAATTAGGGACTTCCTTCAAAGTCGGAGTGCATCTTTCCGAGCGGCAAGGTACAACCAGATGCACACAAATAAGCCGGTAAAATGAATGTAAATGCAAAACTTAGGCCTTGGCACAAAGTCAAAGTTCAAATGGACTAAGAATCAGGACTTTCCACCCGAGCTTTCAGCGGGTGAACGAAAAAGAAAGAAAAATAGTCATGGTAGAATAGTGGCTAGACACATGTTTGGCAGACCAAAAGTCTTGAGTTCAAATCTAGGTCAGGGCAGATTTGTTTTCAGCATTGGCCTTGATTCCCAGGTCGACACAGCCTCAAGTGAGTACCAGTCCTAGAAAGTTAACCTTGCCGGCTGGATTTTGATCAAATCACATACCAGGACACATTTGGTGTGGTACTTGCCATGATGGAGCACGCCTGCTGCAACACTTGCCATCCCAAGCATAATTGAGAAACATCTCGTGGCAGTGGAGGTTCTAAGATTGCAGTAAATTGAGGTCGCAGGACCAGGTTTCACACCGGGCATGAGTCTGACACATCTCTTCCTAATGCTGCCTGTACACAAGCTTCAATCACTAGTGCTGAAAGGATCATTAGGGATTATGTGTGGGGCTGGTTTCATCTGCGACTCGCAGTCTCGGTGCTGGTTTTTGCTGTCCTGATACGTTGGACGTGGTGCTTTCCGCTCACGGGCATCTCCCAGCCGGTGCAAAAGGTTAATGTGAATGTGTGCACAGCTTTTTCCACGATGACCGCAGCATAAGTGGGTGAACAAATTTACAGTAGTTCCAACAAAGATAGTAAAGGCCCACTCTCTCTCTCTGTTGCACTTGTAGCTCGTCAGCAGCTATCCAGTGGTTTGCGTGTTTCTCCTGGTGGATGCACTGAGTGATGGGTCCCTGGCCTGAATGTGTGTATGAAACATCAAATTCTGGTGGATATCTGGTTGGTGCTGCCAGTAGTCATATGTTTGTCGCAAAGATTAAGCCATGCATGTCTATGTTCACACTGTTGCACAGTGAAACTGTAACTGGCTCATGAAATTACTGAAGGTTCCTTAGATAACTGTGGCAATTCTAGAGCTAAAACATGCCTACCACCCTCCGATGATCACAGAAAGAGCGCTGTGTTAATTAAGATCAAGTCATCGCAGGGTGCCGGCCACAAATCTTTCAGATTTCTGTCATATCAAATGTTTAGGTAATATTTATAAGGAGATACTCTATACTTTATCTCATGCGCCAGCACTCTGTGCTGGTTTTCTGATCCTCCTGTCACACCTCCACAACCTGTGCTATGGATAAGGACTCACTTTTGTGACCTGAATCCAGCTGGCAGGGGATCTCGGTGTTGGTGGCTCCCAGAGATGCAGAGTCCAGTCTAATCCAATCTGGCTCATTAGCCCACCCCTAATGCATGAGTAAAAATGTCTATCTAATCTCTTTTGGAACATGAGTAATAACCGCTTGCCGAATATACTACTAAAGGACAACTCTAGGTTAAAACGCCTGTTGAAAAGAGGCAGGGGGTGGGGGGGAACAACAACTGCTGAGACAGCCCTAGACCAAGAGATTTGCCCGCAGCTTAGACCATCAACGTCTCCTGTGGGCGGGATAGTCCCGTCTCCGTACATTCTTTTTTTGGCCCTCAATGTCATCGTCGCTGTGTTGATGTACATCACGACAACCTACCAATATCAGTCCTCTGATTAGACCCAGATGTCCGTCAGACACATGTCCTATGGTGCAACAGCAGAGTCTTCACTGTCCAACTGTCAGAAGTCCTACTGGGTGGCAGAAAGGTTTGAAAGTCCATTATCATTTGCCCCATGCACCAGAATGTCTGGATCAAATAGGGGTGGCATGTCTGATGTATGCTTTTTCCATACTGTTATGCTACATGTCCATGTGAAACAGTGTTAAAGGTGTCTAACATACGCAAAAAGAATGGACCTGTTTGTATAGTAATCAAAGTTCCAGAGGGCGCAGCCAGTGACAAGTGGAAAGCTCAAATATAGATGTAAGGTTAAGCAGTCATGTGCACGACGTGACGATTCCTTGGGTGAGCCCAGGACCAGATCATCATGTGTCAGCTGTAGTTCTCCTTGGATGGCGGAGAATGCCCTTGATCTGTCTCTGCCTTTCCTTGAGGGCTGACCAGCCTACACAGGGTTGCCCTCGATGGGTTTTCTAGGTGCCAACATCTGTAAATAAGGGGCAAAGTGAATACCACACAAATAATGCTACATCATGTCCCTTGAAACTATCCAGGATGTTGACCTGGTCAACAAATGCTAGATGGAGTCAGATGTGTCAGCCTAAAGTTTTAATTGCACTGTTGTTACTAATTTATGTATTCACAGGTAGAAGAAGAACTGCAAGAACAAGATTTAATAGAGCAGTGTTTCGAAGATCTATATGAAATGGAACAGATAGCCTCAGAAATCCTTTCGAGATCACCAGTTGAGAATGCTTTCATTACATTTGACTCATCACATGCTGGGTTGAGAACTGTTGGTATGGTTCGTGCTAGACAAGAACATGCTGTGCCTCTTGCAAGTCAGGAGGAGGTAAGTTAGGATATTTATTTTACATATTAGGATTTGTCAAAAGCAGTGATTTTGGTGTTTGCATATAAAGAAAGATAAATTATTCATTTAATTACATGAAGATTGAGAAGCTTTGAAATTCTTTATCCTCTTAAAATGTTTCAGCCAAATTAAACTCCATAAGGGTTTAGAGAGAGCAGTAATGGAGGGGATGGATCCTGAAAGAAGAGGCTGGGATTGATAGTTGACACAGATTGTCCAGGACACCTTGGACATCATCTTCTTCTATTGTTCACTGGCTGTAAGAATCGGCGGAAGGTCCTGGTTGTTTGGACTTTGACTTTGTTCCATGGCTGAGTTTTGCATTCTACTTTCTTTTTACTGGCTTATTTATGTGCAGTTCATTGTTCCTTGCTGCTTGGGCAGATGCACTCCGACTTCGAAGGATTTCCCCAATTAGTCGACTCCTACAACCTGCTTTTTGAGGAAGCTGTGGGTGTATTCTTGTTTTCCCTACAATGGAAGCTCAGGAACCTTGGACATGAAATGAAAGTTCATGAGATGACAACCTTGACTTTCTGATGGTCTGTTGTGCAAAATATCTGCTACATGATGATAGTGATGGTGATGTTTTCTTCTTCCTTGCGTTCATCAGCTGTAAACTCCTACAGAAGGTTCTGCTTGTGATCACTTCTGGACTTTGATCTTACTCCAGACCTTGAGTTTTTGCCTGCACATGTGTTTTATAGGTCGCAGACTTTTGGTTTCTTGCCTCTCAGGCAGATGCACTCCGTCTTTGAAGAAAACACCCCTAATCACTCACCGCCTACAACATGCATGTTAGATGAGAGAGCAGTAGATCTATTCTTTGTTCTCCATAATCGAGCTCTCCAAAACCTACATGCGGAGGTGATCTTGTCATAAAGCTTCTTGACCATTCCATTCTAAAATTCTCTGACTTTAATTCCCTGTATGTATTCTTTGATAGATCTGTGCAAATTGTAGATATTTTTATTGGCTTCAATTCTAAAGAGCAGTAAGATGTACTACTTGAGCTATGCCCACAAACAAAATCTGATGTTTTACAAAGAAGAAGCCCATAAGGCAACCACAAAAAGATAACCATGTTGAATACGATTATACAGGAAACCATCAAAAGTACTTATTATGCAAAAAAGGTTGAACACTGTCCATTTTAGACTATAGTCTGCATGTGATCTGTTGACTGAAATGTTTACAGATGGTTGTACAAACTTTTTTTTTCAGAATAGTCTAAACTTGCATTATGTCGTAAGGTTTTCCTGTACTTAAAAAAATACCAGCCAGCTATCTCATGAGTTAAGACTTGAGTAGTTTCTGGTGATAAAAAAAATAGTAATTGACATTGTGGAAATCTTGTCTGTAACTAACTACACAGATGGAGCAGTTTAAGCAGAAATGGTTTTGCTGAATAATTATATTTGACAGATATGTGTGGCCAAAACCCAGGAATCCATCCCTGTAGGATTACTTTAAACTGATGGAAAGAACACTTGAGGCAGTGTAAGATAGCATACATGGATCACAGCCAGCTGAGTTATCTAACATAGATCACCACTTATTTGATTGTCTGACTGACTTGTAGGTTATTCATGATATCATCATCATCATCATGTAGCAGGTCCTTTGCAGAACGTCGCTCTCACCATGGTCTGCCTGAAAGAAACTTGGTTTCCCGCCAGCTCTCCCTTTCACACTCAAGGAGTCACTTGTATCCTGTGCCCATCTTTGTGTTTGCCGGCCTCTGCCCCTCCTTCCTGGTGAACATGCCTTCTTTTTTTAATCCGTCGTGGCACTTGATATGACCAAAATATTTCAGTTTCCGTGACAGGATGCTGTTTATTAGCCAATCATCCTTGATGTTCAGATCTTTCAAGGTGTCAGTATTTCTCCTCTTCTTTGTATAAGATATTCTGAGAATCTTTCTATAGCGTTTCAGCTCAAAAGCGCCTATTCTCTTTCTTAAGGACTTATTCATGATATAGATTTGGTTTATGGGATTTCAATATATGTCATTGTACATTTAGTATGTTCATGTGTTTGTTTTCAGGTATTTTTTACATGTCCTTCTTGCAGGTGATCATCTCTAGCAAGCTGAATCCATTAGCTCCCGAATTCTTCCCAAGGAAGCCGTGCTAACACAAGCTCAGCAATAAGTAATGATCGCAGCATTTACAGTTTTTTTCATTTGTCCCAATCTACTCATAAAGCACAGTGGTTGCATTTATGACTGCCAGTATTTTTGTTTTTATGAAGCATTTATAAATGCTTTATCAACTGTTTTGTTTTTAATGTTTGCTGCAGCATGTTGACAAGTCTTTGTGTTTCCTCCTTACACCTTTTGTCATTTATGAGTCAACATTATCGAACATGGGCTTTTTCTGTGTTTTGGGGGAGTTCTGGAGTCATATTGCAATCCTTATGTTTTTTCTTCACAAAACATTACCATAATGCTGATTGAAGTGATGTGAAGCAGAATTGGCTACTAGAGTAGCCAGGTCATGGATTTTGGATGAGCGACAGAAATGACAGAGGTGACAGTGACTGCTGAATGAAATATTTGGACCATAACACTACACCCCCCATCACCTCTCCCGCATCATAGTTTTTAGACTTTAAAGATATATGCTCTTTTCTTTGTTGCCAGATAATTAATTTTCTTGGTGTCACATACTCTTTGGTGCCTAATTAGTTGAATGAGCTTTTTTTCATTTCTTATTTTAAACACTTCAATTTGAAGCGAACAGTATTGAATTCATTTGAAGCTGACAATAGTGGAACAGTATCATGGTTGTCTTGAGTTTTGACTGATGAGTATCGCTTGATTTCTCCCAGCTAATAGATTGCACTTTACAATTTGGTTTTCTCTTTTCTAAATCCTGGTTAAATAAGGTTGTAGTACTCTGTCTTCTGGGATTGATAACAACTTGTGTATGTATTCATTGGGTATCAAGACTGTGGTATATCGTCAGGTTGCCTTTTAACAGACAGATATTTTATTAAATAAAACTGCAGATATGAAGCAGCTGTTCCATGTGTGAATAATGTACTCCGTTTGTGTAGAATTCAACATAATAATTTAACTAATTCTTCACCAAGCAGTGTGTAGTGTTCATTGGTTACTTCATAGTTACATGTATTTTTAAAACCACCTTATATAATCAATTTGCAATAATAACTGTATTTTTGAAATAAGTTAACGTACTCTCTACTGTCTGTGACAGTGGGGGGAGGGGGGGGGGTGGTGGATTTAAGGACTATAAGAACTGATTAAGACAGCAATTGTTTATAACAGAAAGGGTTCATTCTGTGTTATACCGAGATACACATAGTAAAGAAGAATATTAATTTTCAAGGGAGCTGAAATTGTGCAGTGACTAGCAAGTTTGTTTGCCAGCTTGGCAGTCATATGTTTGAATTCATATTGAGAATTGTTTTTTTTTTTTTTCAAATTTATCTGGACTCCCAGGCCCACCTAGCCTAAATAGTAACAGAAAATATATTTAGGTGGCCATTGTGATATTGACTGTCGGCCATTGAGTGCCATATATTCTATAAAATTAGGGTTATAGCTATCCAGTAAGCCTTAACCTTTCCACCCCAGGAACACTTAAAAAAAAAAAAAAAAAATATCATGACCCCGTTAGAATTCCAGAAAAAAATCTTCAGAGAAAATAATTTTACACAGGCCACGTTAAAAATGTATTTATCTACACTATCTATTCTTGTATAAAAATATTTTACTAGAACAATCAGCAAACATGAACAGGGTGGAGCATGAAATGGAATGCATCCCCACAGCTTACATTAAAAAAAAACATTGGGTCATGCAAACCTTTGACCTCAATCACTGAGCCTTACGGAAACTCTGGCATTAGCTTAGCTTAAAAAAGGCATTAAGCTAAATGGAAAACTCCCATCAGTGCTATTGTTAGTTAATGAATTCTTATCCTGACCTCCTGAACGTTTGCAAGCAGCCAGTGGCATTAACTATGCTTTTAAACAGGTTTTTCAAAGACAAGTTTGAAAAAAAAAATTTATGGGGGATTGGACCAAACCGGCAGTGTCAGGTTTTCGACTTCTCCGGGTAAAAGCGTTAAGGTGTGAAAACACTTTAGTTTACTTTTTATTACATTTCCATTACTTTTAATGTGGTTGTGGCTGTGAAGTTTGTTTGCCTAATTTCAGTAAATTTTTAAGTTTTAAGATCTTTCTTGATTTGCTATAGTGCTGCCAGAAGTTTTTCCTTTTCTTCTTCAGTCAGCTTATCAGTTGCAGTATTAGTATACGTGTTGAATTTGCATTATTGGTGCCATGTTTTTGTTTATTACAAATAATGTTATCAAAATAAAATCATTGACACTTAAAATTGTGTCTGTGTTTTAAAATTATTACTGCCTATGTGTCTGTATATTTCTTCTATCCGCGGTTTTGCTGCTGTGTCTGTGTTATGTCAAACCTGTTTGAATGCATGGTGTACATCTTGAAATAGACCCCAGACAAAAAGTTAGGAAAGCTTGGAGGTAGCTGCGATGTGGTTTCTGATGTGAATACCTTGGACTGCTAAATTAACCAAAAGGAACTTAATTAAAGGGTCGCGGCATTAGGAATGTTGGGAACCCCTGCCATAGACTGTGTTGCATGGACAAATGTGTGTGTGTTAATATTTGCTCCCACGGCGTGGCGCTGTGACCGTGATCACAAGCATGGCATGGCGGAAAGATTAGGCTGCTGTACAGGGTTGCCAGATGAAAAACTTCATTTTATGCCCAAAATATGCCAGAAAAAAGTGTAACATTGTACTCGCTTCACATCAAAAGCTCTAGATTGAATTCTTCACTGTCATCCTCACTGGAACAAGTGGAAGACACGGCGTAAACCTTTTCGGATGTAAAATCTTTAAGCATTTTCTCAGATGGGATGAAGTCTTTGCAATCATCTATAATGATGGAATATTTCTTGTTCGGAAAATCACCAATAAGGTCACCCTTAAGTGCAGGCGATAACATATTTTTTATTAGGCATGAACATTTAGTTATATGCAACTGTATGTGCTCCAATGTACTCCCCCACCCCGACACCCCGACCATGCGCTCCTATGATTTCGTTTCGATGATCAATTGTGCGTATTGCACAATGGCAGGTCATGCCTACAGCAAGTTGCAACTCTGCTGCCTTTAACTCTATCATTACTTTGCCTAGGAGTCGTTGTTGTAATAAGCTGTGACTGGCTTTTTGACAGTCTTCATCCTGTGTTCATCGGATTTTTCATGATTTGATATGCTACTAATTCTTGGTGCAACATTGCACTGACACAGTTTACAACAGGCCGCCTCTGATCCGTCTGAAGATCTTTTGAGCCGTGGGTATGCTTTCTTCCAGTTACTATTATACTTGCAATGTTTTAAGATGCTTTCAATTATTTTTTTTTTTTTTTTTTTATGACGTGGCCATTGGTAAAAGTAATAAAATCTATCACAGATAAAACTAGGTCTATATGCTCTCTATTTTCTGTCCTCAAGTAGTTTCTGATAGTCTGATTCACTTGGTATCAGTGGTGGGTTTTGGTTTTATATCCCGCATTTATTCTAGAAGATTAACATAAATTACAGAGAGCCTTGGTTTATCGAAGTCATGATCCGTTTAGGAGACAACAAATACAATAAGAAATGGCGCGAATCTCCGTTAGTCGGTACAAGGACATCACAACAAAGTCAAACTGAAATAAATATGTTAACTGTAGATCTAAATTGCTTTTAGCAAATCTGCGTGTTTCTAACGGAGGAACCATGAAGAAAATTGGAGCACATCTTGGTAAGAAAAGCCAGGAATAACCCAAATATGCCAAAATATGCTAGTTACATTATCTTATGCCAGTTCAATTTCAAATATGCCAAATTTGGGGAATCTGGCATAAAAAATGCCAATATGGCAACCCAACTGCTGTGCTCTGTATAAGGAGATACTCCGTTCATCATCTCGGGTGCCAACAGGCTCTTTGCCGGCGTTACGGATCCTCATGCAAGACTCCTGCCAGACGTCGTCGCCGTACGGATAATGGCCTATATCGGCCTAAACCGAGCTGGCAGGGGATCCGAAAGTTGCTGGTACCTAGAGATCCTTGGGTACATATCAGCCCATACCCAGTTAAAACAAAAACAAAAGTTGGTTGCGTATCATTAACAGGACGTTGCAGAACCAACTAAATTGTTTTTTTTTTTTTTTTTTTTTTGCTGTTGTTGTTTTTTTTAAGGCAAATTTTACGTTCAGTGTTTTGCCATTGCTTTCTGGATGGTCAGCTCTCGTTACCACTATTGAAACCAACGCAAATCAAATCGTTCGCAGCTGGGATTGAACCCGGCACCCCGGCATTACGAAACGCGTTCGCAACGCCCAAGCCACGAACGCCAACCCATACCTAGTACTAGGCACACACATAATCGACAACTCGTTAGGAACATTGCCTCTCTCTCTCTCTCTCTCTCTCTCTCTCTCTCTCTCTCTCTCTCTCTCTCTCTCTCTCTCTCTCTCCCTCCTCTCTCTCTCTCTCTCTCTCTCTCTCTATCTATCTATCTCTCTCTTGGTGTACCGCACCAGGACATTACACAAGCGAACAACACCCGGTGACATAAAATGCCACCATGCGGATAGTAGTAGTAGAAGTAGTAGTAGATTTTAACCCCACTAGAACATCACACAAGCGATGAACACCCGATGACACAAAGTGCCACCATGTGGATGAGGATCACCGTGGAAAGGTCCCAGAAACCGCGTTAATCCATTAGACCATATTTATGGTCGGGCTATATTGTGGCCCCTGGCAAAGAGCCAGGGTGGGGCTTCAAATAACGAAAAATTGCATCTCACAAGGAGATGTCTGGATTGCTAATTACACACCTTGCGGGTAAGAATCACTCGTGCAGAGGTCCCAGAAACCACTTTCAGCCGTTAGGCCATATTTATGGCCCCGCTATATTCAGAACCCCCGGCAAAAGCTAGAGAGGGGCTTCAAATAACGAAAAATTGCATCCCACATGTAATAGTAGTAGAAGCAGATTTTACCCCACTCGGACATCTTACAAGCGATAATCACACGATGACATGAAGTGCCACCACGTGGATGAGGATCACTCGTGGAAAGGTCCCAGAAACCGCGTTCAGCCATTAAAAAATATTCATGGTCAGGCTATATTACGGCCCCTGGCAAAAGCCAGGGTGGGGCTTCAAAATAAGGAAAAATTGCGCCTCACAAGGAGATGATTGGTTATAACATCCCACATGTACCTCTGGCGGAATATCCCCTAAATGACAGGCTCAGGTTCAAATGTCTGGGCCGAAATTCCTACTTGATGACAAACCTTAGTTCAAGAGCCTGTTAACCGAGAATATTATGGCTGCTCACGTTCAAACGTCCGTCCATCAAACGTACTGGTAAGGGGGTGGAGGTGGGGTCGGCAGAGTGGCTGGAAGATCTCGAAGTATAGCGTCCGCCTCGAGTGCTGAAGGTCCCGGGTTTAGACCCAGGTGAAGGCTGGAATTTTTTCACGTTGACTTCTAGTTATTTTGTCTGGTCTCTGTGTTGTATGAAATGAAAATCCCTTGGCATTTGGAAATAGAAAATTGTAGCCCAACGGCGCTGTCCGGGCAAAATTTAGAGTTAAAATTCTACCCAAAGTAGTTCAAGATTCTCACCAGTGCCACGGAGTTTGTGCACTGCGCTGATAATCTTGCCATTGCCATTGCCAGTTGTCCAAGAAAAATTCCAAATTTGATCCTCTTTCAGCCGCCCGAGGGCCTGCTATATCGAAGAAGGGTCCTTTGCTGTCTTATATGGTTTCCTTTTATTTGTGGTGTGTAAACACACCTGATATTATGGTTGTTTGCTTCCTTGCTGTGCTGCGTTGTTTGCGGTTTTGGGTTCTGGTGTGATCCAGATCTCTTTGCGATGATATTGAACGGTACTAGCTGACTGTTGCTGGTGCTTGGTTTGCCTCGATAATCTTTGCACTCAGGCTTGAGTTAGAAGTAGAACGGAGCACTTAGGGTTAATAACCTTGTGCCATGATGTTAATCCGTTGTTCAAGCCAAACCAAGGGTTTAGGTGTATCTCGCTCAAAGATCCCACTTTTTGACAGAACAGTTTGAAACGTCCGCTGTCATTGGCTACACTCGTCGGAGTGTAATTACCCAACACCGTCTCTAATTAAGAGAGAAGGCCGTGTAATTACCATACAGGGATGCCATGCCCAGTGAGAGATGGGCCGCCCAATTTAAATCCCTGCATTCATGCTCTTTAGATCAAGCACATACACTAACGCATTTGATAAATACACCATGATAACACAGCAAAATCTTCAAGATGCTGTATCCACAGTAAATGTTGGTTATAGCTTCAACATTTTCTTTTTTCTCTCTTTTGAATGCAGCAAGTGTTTATAAGGGGTTCCAGAACAGATAGGAGATGGTTGTGGCAGCACTTAATCTTGAGAATGCATACAATAGAGTCAAGTATGATATTTTGCTATCTGCACTCACGGAGAAAGGGGTTTGTCCCTGGCTTGTGAACTGGATAGCAGCTGTCCTGTATCCACGCATGGTTGCCCTTCGCCTGGGTACATGACCTCAGAACCATGTAATGTCGCCCCGGGACTACCCAAGAGTTCTGCAATTTCTCCAGTGCTCTTCAATGTGTATACAAGCAAGATTGCAGAACTTGAAGCACCAGGTATTGGAAGGATATTAATATTTGCCGAGGATGTTCTTGCATATAGGCAGGGGAGGGATAGACAACGGATAGCCCAGGAGCTGCAGGCGACTGTAGACAAAGTGACTGACTGGTGTGCAGAAATGGGTGCTCTCATCAATTTAGAAAAGGCTGCTATTTTGTGGTGTTCTTTGGACAATATAATTGTAAGATCTTATGTTCCAAGCCTCACAGTTAAGAACAGTAACATCAAAAGAGAAAGCAAAGTGAGGTACCTGTGTATCCTTTTAGATAGAAACCCATCCTTTAGGGAGCATGTGAAGGCAGTTGCGATGAAATTTAAAAAAAAAAAAAAAAAAAAACTCAGTGCTCTCAAGATTATGGCAGCATTGGACATGGAACCAAAAATGTTGGTCACAATGTTCTAGCATGTGATCCTGTCGTTGATAGATTATGGGTTTGAAATGCTTACCGTATTAAAGAGTCAGCTAATGAAACTTGAACGCATACAAAATGAAGCCATGTGGGTAAAAGTCATATCTCAGAGTAGCTGCAGGCAAGAGGCACCTCCTACATGAAGCCCCGGGCCGAGCTAAGAGTCACAGTCTGAAAAGAGGAAGGTCTTGGAATGCGAAAGCAGAAGAAACAACTGGACATGTGTGCAGGCTTGATACATTTGTGCGAGGTAAGGAGTATGTTAAGGTGTCCCAGCAAGTTTGAAACTTGTGTAGTGTTCTTATCACAGTGCAGGGACTCTCCAGCTTGTGCTGCAGAATCAGAATTTCAACAAATGATTCGTGACCATTCCCGCCTAAGTGATGTGATTATCTTCTATACAGATGGCTCTGTGTTTATAGGCAGACGAAGTCCATAGCAAAAGCGAATGGACGTCGCTTAGTGCAACAGTCCTGCATATGAAACCACAAAGTCCAGTTTGAGCATAGAAGTGGAGGCAGTCACTGCTGCCTTCCGTTGGCTTGAGAATCAGCTGTACACACATGCCGTGATTGAAACTGACTCACAGAGCAGGTTGAGAAAAGTGGAGACAGGCATGCTCCCTGCAGAGTGGCAATCGTCAATTCAGAGGTCCCGGGTAGTTAGCGTCCTTTGGATATTTTCTCTAGGTAATGCCGGTGTGTTGGGAAATGATCATGCAGATAGACTAGCCGGTTCTGCACCACTTGCTGGTGAATTGATGTATGACCTAGATATGGTAAGGGCCCTTTGAGAGTGAGTGAGCAGTGCAGAGGCACAGATAGATCATTGCGGTCTGGGGAGAACGGTCCTGCGAGGAGTTACCGGGGGGGGGGGGGGAATCTGGCAGACGTTAAACACTCAGGGACAGAGCAAGATGATTATACAATCAGAGTTACTGGTGCCATCGGAATTGGAACTCTTCGCTTGCTGTTGAAGGAACGGAGTGCTTATGGGATGTCCCGAGTGCTGTGATGTTGATTCTAAATTCAACATTCTTTGCTCTCTTTCTGTCTGTGAACCTGGCTGACTGACTGTCTCTCTCTCGCAAAACAATGTTGTTCTTCTGTATGTGTTACCTTCGCGCCATTACTGCAGTCTTTTCGCTGCCTTTAGCCTCCTCCTTTTTGCTCGGTGTAATTTTGATTGTTTTAGGTATCTTTTATGCAAATAGTGAAATGTTAAACAAATTAAAATTATTTTTAAAAAATGCATTTCATATTAGTGTGGTTTCTGTAGACTGCCATAGAGAAGAAAAGAATATCTATAAGATTATGTATAGCAGAAATTAATAAAGTGACCGGGGACTAACGCGGTTTACAAAGAAAAAAAAACACACTCCTCTCCCCGTCGTTAAGCTTTTAATCGCTAATGAGGGGGTTAACTTCTTGATATCAGCATGACTGCTGTAACCCCTACGTTTTCATCATTATTAAATGAGGTAGAACATGTTAAAAAAAAAAGAAAAAAACTGAATGACCTCTTCACAAGAAAACAAACGAAAAAACTTGCAGGCAGGAAAGTCTCTTGGCTATTTTAAAGCTCTTAAAATACAAAATACTGCACTAATGAACAAGGGAGGAGCGGCGATCATTCCTAGGTTGAAAATAAAAAATCAGCATCGCGATGACTGGAAGGATCTGCGGTAAAAAGAAGCAAACATAGATTGAGAAAACAAATTCTGCATGGTCTAAGTCGATGACTTTGAGGTATGTCATCAACAAAACTGGCCCAGTGCAAATCGGATCGAGATTTGTGCTGACATAACATCTACGTCACTGGACAAGGCACATGATGATGACGCGAGTATCTGGTATGCCAGGAAAGACGATAGCAATATTTTACTCAAATAATATTGACACATAACTAAATTCTAAAATATTAGATATTTTAAAATGGACAAATGTATGCAGAAAATTACAATGAAAATAATTAAACTACCTTGAGTTATTTAAATGCTGGAATTTTTTTTTAAGTAAATGCGTATATTTAGGCGACAACGCGGTGAAACAGTAGACTCAGTTACCGGCAAGCACAAGCATGGCGAGCAGCGGAGTTCCAATTATCATTTTGAGTAAGTAACATTTTTTAGATTATATTCGACGTACAGGCTAGACATCTACAAGAAATCACGAGGATAACCATTTATGTTTGCTTTGTCTTCCAGACCAAAACACGAAGAGGGAGTCGGGGAGGAAAGTCCAGCTGGGCAACATTGATGCTGGCAAGGTACGTCAAAAATCTGATCAAACATGTCATGGCAGTTCCAGAAAGTTCTTGACTGTCTGCCTTTTTTGTTTGTTTTGTTCGTCTCACTGCATGTAACTTTTATACGTTTACATGGTTAAATTGAGACTAAGTGCCAGTCGTTTCGTTTACATATTTAATAAGGTTTGATTCTGATCTTATTTATCAGTTTAATGGTTTAATCCTTGCAGTTTTTTTAAAAGTGGGGGTAAGAAAAAAAAAGGGGTGGGGGGGGGGGGGGGGGGGGGGGGGGGGGGGGGAAGGGGGGGGGGGGGTGGTGCGATTCACAGTATTGAAAAAAATTTCTGTTATTTTTCTGAATTAAATAAGTTTATTGGACAAGGCTACCAGTCATACAAACAATGTTGTTCTAAGGCTGGTTTTCTCTTAGGTGTCTCCGCTATATATTTTACGGGGCCGCGTTAGCTCAGTTGATAAGATTAAGAGGCTTTCTTTCAAGTCCAGCTGCGATTCGCTGCAGCCACGGTCGATGTTCAGAACCGGGCAGTTCCCTGGGTTCACCCAGCCTCTAGAAAATGGGTACCAGTGTTGACACTCTGGGGTTAATAGAGGAATGTCGCTGTAGCTACGCTACAGTTACGTGCGAACAGTGACACAGGCGGGCAATTCTTATTAGCTGTCCGTACTGGTGGCAGAGCACTTATTGTTTATATAGCGACTACGGTGTTCGACAATTGGCGGTCTTTTAGCAATTTCCGTTACCATGGAAACTGTTAGAAACTTGCTTCGCAAATGTCGGCTGGGGTTTCGTAATCTCTCATGAAATTTTGCGATTGGTGTGATTTTCACCCACTATAAAAAGCTGAAAACGGCGGGAAGGAACCCAATTAACAGCGCATGTGTACGACAGCCGGACGTCCTCTGTTTTTCTGTTACATCAGTTTGATTAAAAATAGCGATAAGTATTCAGGGCTGGCTTTAGGCTTTAACATTACTCGTACTGGTAATGCTAGTTATAATTGAATTCTCTGTCCAATTTTACATTGGTACATAACATTTCTTTCTTATCAGTGGCTTTTTAGATTTACAGTGAAATTTTTCAGGCAATCGCTAATTATCATTAATTATCATGGAGGAAAATAGTGGTAAATTCGAGGTTGGCTTTAGGCTTTAGCATTACTCGTACTGGTAATGCTAGTTATAATTGAATTCTCTGTCCAATTTTACATTTGTAAATAAAATTTCTTTCTTATGAGTGGCTTTTTAAATTTACAGTGACATTTTTTAGGCAATCGGTATGTGGCTGTGTCTCCATTGTCTGCCATCTTGTCCAATGACAGTCCAATGTCAACAAAGCCAAAACAGAAGTGCGCAGTTTGGTTGCGCAGAGAAACTTCTTGTTTCTGGGTCGCAAGTTTTCAACAACTGTTTTTTACATTTCATCTCCACAAAAACCTACATATCTCAGCTCAGAAATGACATACAAGCCTAAATGAGGTACCATTGGAAAGAGATTGTTTACAGCTATCTAACTGTGCTGGTTTTATTGGTGTAGAGGGCATTTTGAAAATTTTACTAAAGTACCTAGTTTATAACCGATGCAGTGACGCTGGTTAACATCTCCCGACTTTACCTTTACTATATAATATTTATTAGCTTCCTGCACTAGGCCTCTAGCAGACTGCGACAGTCCATGTTTTGCTGTCGCTTCCATTGGAGTCGGTCAGCAGCTGATCTGTCCCAAGTGTCAGTGTTGGTTTTCTTTAGGTCATGTTTGCACTGATACAACAGCATGGCTTTGGCCTTCCTGCAGATTATTGCCTGTTCCAATTTCACCAAACAGGAGATTCTTTGGAGTGCGACTGTCCATGCGGGAGACATTTCCCAACCAGTGCAGGCATTTTTGCTTTAGTAGAAAGTACATTGTTGTCATTATTGCTCTTTTGAATACACATTCATTAGAGACAAGTCTCATTATGATATACCAAGAATGCATATCATACAGCACATCTTCAAATTTAACTGTACTGATAGATAATATGGCAGCTACAAATTTGCTACAGGTATGTCCAACATATGCAGAACAGAGTAAAGTGATTGCATTAACATACTTTGAGAAGGAAAGAATATGTCAGAATTGAACAGAATCTAGCCACGGATGGTTACCACTTACTTGACCAGCATGAACAGGTCATTATTCTACGCCTCAGGACAGGACATATCAAAATCACAAGCATATGCATAGGCTTTATATAAGTAGTCACAGTAGTGCCCGTGCGGGCTGTGTGTGTGTAATCTACAGAACATGTCCTGCAAGAATGTCCATTGTACAGCCCATTTAGAAGGTGAATACCTGGCGCACTTTGTCGACGCTGCATTTAGCGTTGTATCGAACTAAAAGAACTAAAATTAGTCAGGCTTGTCTCAAGAACTTGTCTATCAGTCTTAATCATAAAGATATCACAATAAGTTGGCATTCAAGGACAAACTAATAACAACTTAAGTTCACTGCTGCATTTATGTTTATTATCTTTTTGTTGATTTCTAAATATTTTTGAAATCGTGTAAAATCTCAGGAAAACAGCTTTTACATAATTTTTTGATTTTAGTTTAGTCGGAGCACATCTGCCTGAGAGACAAGGAACCAGTAGTCTGCATACAAGTAATCCAGATCGTTTAAAACAGATGTGCATGCAAAACTCAAATTCTGGAGGGATACAATTTAAAGTCTAGAATTTGATGAACAACCAGAACTTTGCGCTGGAGTTTACAGCTCGTGAACACTTTAAGAACAAGTTTATAATTCAGAATCTAGCATCAAATAATTATACATCAAAGAACATCAGTAATTTATAACTGGTTATGTTATCAAAGTAGCTTGAATTCTTCAGAATGAATGATTCCTATTTCGAAATCAGTTTAAACTGAGCAGTTTTAATAATGCCTGTTGATACTTCCCACTTGGTGGATACCAAGCAGTACTGATGGAGGTCATGCATCACACAACAGCCTTCATACAGGCCTGTGGCCTTTTCATCTAAAAAGCCAGAAGCAGGGAGAATTAAAAGATAATTTCAGCAATCCATGATTTCTTATAAACTGTACATGTTTTTTGTTGTTGCTAGGAAATTCATTTCCCTGACATCATCACTAGACATGGATTGGTATACAACTCCACAGTTGGAAATAGGGCTTTGAAAGTGTAATTAACATTTGGTAATACAAAGATTGTATTGTTTTGACCTTTCTTCTATAGATAGGCACTAACAAACACTTCTGGCATATGTGTCATGCAGAACTTGTTTAATTTTGTTTAACCATATTTACAATTCACAGACTGTAGCTGACATTATTCGAACATGTCTGGGTCCAAGGTCGATGCTCAAGGTCAGTACTTTATAAATTATTATACAGTTTTGAGATATATGTTTTGATGTTGCAGGCTTAAAAAATTGATATCAACTTGTTTTTAATCAAACTAACTTATTTGTCAAAGAAAATGGGAACGGACCATTTTATGTAAATTAGAATAACCGGAGACATATTTATTCACAATAAATTTAAAATGAAACCTTTATATGCACTCATATGCACATATACACACAGAGGGAAGAGAATGATCACACAGTGATTCAGAATCCTGATACAAATAATTGTAGGTAACCATTGACTGTTTATTGATTTCAGATGTTGATGGATCCGATGGGGGGCATTGTTATGACCAACGATGGGAATGCTATTCTCAGGGAAGTAAGTGGGCTTGATTCTTTTTTCTTTCTTTCTATTTTTAAGCGCAAGATAGAATGATTGAGCAGTCTCTTTCTTGTGGATAGGCATACTATTCTTTTTTCACCAGCTTTTTTCAGTAACTACTGGAAAAGCTAATGGAAGTAGAATATTGTACACAGCTATAATAAAGAAACATTTTTTATGTGTGAGTCACGTGATATGAAGAGAACACTGGAAAATGTCATGGTAAATGGAAAGATTGGTGGCAGAAAGGGTGGACCACAAGGAATGATGCTAAATGGTCTGAGATTGAGGAGTGTCAATAGAATTGACACAGAAGACACAGTGCCAAGATTTGTGGAGAGACATGATAAGCCACATATGTTTTGGTCAGTTTGTTCTGCCATCATTGTAAGAAAAAAAAAACTTTACTTTTTGAAATGTATACTCCAAATAGTTTAACATTAACGATGATTTCAGTTTTTAATACTGCAACCAGCACTCATTGTGAGTGCCTTTATTGCATTGTTTTGTGATGTTGAAAAAGAGTGTGTTATTGATAAGGTGTTAAACTACTTTCAATGGCCTAAGTGATGAGACTAGGTTATGTATGCAAAGCATTTGAAAGCTGTGCTAGGGTTTTTGGCTTTGACTAGATGTTTAGAGACAAGTTTTAAAAACAGGAAAAAGTGGTAGTACCATGGCAGATGACATCTGTTGGGGTGCAAAGTGATAGGCTGCACACTTTGTCGGCCAGTACATAATGTAGGATAACCTTTTCCTCCTTTGCTGTCACCTTGTCTTTTTAGACAATTGTTACAGCTGAAATGCATTTTTGTGAGCCTGCACCAGCACCAGACTTATTCTTCTAACAGAGGCATCATTTCTGCCACTGGATGCTGCACTGTTTTAATTGACTATCTGACCAGACTTGGCAGTAAGCACCCTTAATTCATGCTGATTTTTTTTAACATTTGGTGTTTCAAACAATTTTACAGATCTTGAGACCAGTTTACATAGCAACTGAGAAAGAGCACACAGAATATCTATTTGTACATCTCCCACAACTCACTGGGGTATATGTGAATGAAGAAAATGACTATCATAGAAGATTGTTGGCAAAATTGGAGAAATGTAATTATTTTGCCATTGAGTGAAAAATGAGTGTCCTTTAAATGTTTTATTTTTTTTTTTTTTTAGCTTAATGTTCGCCATCCGGCTGCAAAGTCCATGATAGAGGTAGCAAGAACTCAAGATGAAGAGACTGGAGATGGTACCAAGTCTGTCATCATTTTGGGTGAGTTTATATAGTCATTCATATTTCTTCTATTACAGCATCAATTGCAGATTAGGACTTGTGTAGTTGTTTACTTAACTGTTTGTTTAAAAAAAAAAAGAAATTTGTATGAGATACAAGAAAACTTAAAAAAAACTATGACTTTTTGATTAGATATATGGGGAAAACAATAAAAGAACAACTGCCTCCCCAACAAGCAAGCCGTAGGAGTTGACTAATTGGGAGCATCCTTCTAAGTCAGATTGCATATGCCAGAGAGCCAAGGAACCAACAATCTGCATACAAATAAGCCAGATCTGAAAAATGGATGTGCACACAACATTTAATTTCTTAAACAAGACTAAAGACCGACTGTGGAAAGAAAAAACCAGAGCATTCCGCAAGAGTTTACAGCCGGTGAATGTGAAAAAGAAAAGTTCTAACTTGTCAGAAATAAGACTACTACAAAACATTTAATAAATAATAAATACAAAAAGACAATTAGTTAGAAGGGTAAAAAGTTTTCAGGAACTGATGTATTTTTGTTTTGTTATACATAGATTGAATTTTTGTGTTTTATGCAAAAAAAAATGTATAACCTTTTTGAATGGATATTGTGCTATAAAGTATCAATTCAACTTAACGACCTGTTAGTCAGATAGGAACTCTGTTGAGTCGAGTCCCTGCAGTTCTAAAGGCGTTTATAAATCTCAGATGACTTTTATTTCTTTCCATACCTTGACCTCTGTGACACAGCTCAGTGGAAATGCAATTTCTTAAACAGATCTAGTTATGATCAACATGACGCAGTAAATAAATCCATTGATGTTTTTCACAGCTGGAGAAGTGTTGTCTGTTGCTGAACAGTTTATCCAGCAGCAGATGCACCCAACCTTAATCATTGCTGCATATAGGCAGGCCTTGGAGGATTTACTGGATGATCTTAAGCACAAGATAGCGTAAGTGATTCTGATATACTAACTGGGCTGGGGTAGCAATGGTTTAACCTAAAGAGAGTTCCGGTAGAGGTGAAATGACTGCATGCTACTCAGTATCTGACTTAAAAATTTAACTGACTGCTGAAAATCCAGTGGATCCATTTCCTTCTTAGCCTTCTTAGCAGAGTCTAGCAGAAAGGTCTGTTGGTTCGTCTAGTCCTAGACTTTGGTCTAGATCCAGAACATGACTGTAACATGCACATGAGTTTTATAGATCTGTCTTTTTCGTGTGCAGACTGTTGGTTCCTTGCTTTTCAGGCAGGTACACTCTGTCATTGAAGGAAACACCCTAATTAGTTGCCTCCTGTGACATGCCTAATAGGGTGAGGGTTTTCAGTGGGTCTGTTGTTCTCCAAAATGGAATTAAGACCCACATAAGGAGATCTGTTTTGATATTTATATATAGCCTGTTTTGATATTTATATATAGCAGTGACTCCTGAAATGTGAACAAACACATTAGTAAGTATTTGGAGGCAGCAGAGACTAATATTTGAGAGCCCTTTGTTGTGAAAACCATGGACAACCAGAGTAGCTAATGATTGCCTGATATAAGGCTGTTGAAAATAGAAAATAACTTGCACCTATGAGAAAGGAACACTGTATTTTGGTACGTAATGACAGGAAAGGTATTGAAGGAGAATATGATGATGGAAAAGTCAGTGGTAGATTTAGTGATAATGTTTGATGGTAAATGATGATGGCCTGGAGCGTAACATCTTTAATATAATTAATAGAAAAACCAGTGATTTTGGAAAATTAGCGAGATGCTGTTTGCTCTATATAATCTCTTGTGTACTTAAAAAGTCTAGTTTGTCACCAAGATCCCTCCCACGGTTACCGGAGCCTTTTTTTTTTAGGGGAAGAAAGAATAACCCACAGCCCCTTTATACATGTGTGGAAAAATTTCACTAAGGATTAGTTGAATTTGGCTGTGTTAGGCTAACAAGTTAAAGTAGCTCAACTGTAAACAAAACAACATGCCAACTACCCTTGTAAAGGCAAGCACAGAAGAATAAGTCACCAGGATGTCAGAATGACAGTGTATGATGCAGGTTTGGCAAGAAACAGTTACACTAACCATCTTTGCTACCTAAATAAATGTAACATTTTTTTTAGTTAGAACATATTAGTAACATAAACCAAAATATTTTCAGAATTCCTGTTGATATCAAACAACAAAGAGGAAATGCTGAAAATTGTCAAGTCATGCTTGGGAACAAAATTCATCAGCAAATGGTAAATTGTTTGTCTCATTTTTTAAAAGTTTTTTAATAAAATCATTATGTATTACTTTTCACAATTATTTTGGAATTTATGTTGTACTAACAAAGTTCCTTTATCATTTACAGGTTGTGATACACTTTCATAGTTCAGTTAGGGTATAGCACAAAAGGGGACATATGCTCTATAATACAGTGGTTGTCAGTGTGAAGTTGTGAAGTAGCAATGCAAATAATTTTATCCTTTAGGGTCGCCACAACATGAGGAACTGCATTAAAGGGTGGCAGCATTACGAAGGTTGAGAAGGTTAAGACCCACTGCTATAATAGTCGGATAGTAATTGTTACCCTCCCTTTTGAGTAAACCAAGCAGGCTGAAAGAGGGTTGTGCCGCATGAGCAACACATGGTCTTTACCATACTGCCAAGGTTTTGCTCTGTATGGAGGAGAATTTCACCCCTGGACTCAAATGATTCTAATGCCACTTAACATCACTGTATAATGATGTTGTCTGAAAAGACAGAAATGTGCCAAGTTAGCTAGTCACATTAAAGGTAGAATGTTATAATTTTCTTTGGCTGCATAACTTCAGATGATTAAAGATGGAAAGGCAAATACAGCAAGGTAATCTGAGGTCTGAGTTTAAAAGATATCGACAGATGTAGTTGGACAGCTATTTTGGCCATTTTTGAAATGGTGGCCTGGAGAGAACTGATGGTGGGCACAGGTTCAGGAAAACAGTGCACAAGTAGACCTCCAGGAATGTGGATTTAAACACTGAAGAGCTATTGGCTGGGAAAACCTAGGGCTGGAGAATTGGCTAGAGAAAGACTTTCAGGCATGCCATGATGAAAGATATGTCCACATTGATGTTGAGTGATGTAGTTGGATGGGTATTTCCTAGAAAGTGAAACAAGGCAGCTGTTATAACTTAGCGTCTGCTGCACAACAAGGCAAGCTGTTATAACTTAGCGTCTGCTCCACAACAAGGCAAGCTGTTATAACTTAGCGTCTGCTCCACAACAAGGCAAGCTGTTATAACTCAGCGTCTGCTCCACAACAAGGCAAGCTGTTATAACTTAGCGTCTGCTCCACAACAAGGCAGCTGTTATAACTTAGCGTCTGCTCCACAACAAGGCAAGCTGTTATAACTTAGCGTCTGCTCCACAACAAGGCAGCTGTTATAACTTAGCGTCTGCTCCACAACAAGGCAGCTGTTATAACTTAGTGTCTGCTCCACAACAAGGCAAGCTGTTATAACTCAGCGTCTGCTCCACAACAAGGCAAGCTGTTATAACTCAGCGTCTGCTCCACAACAAGGCAAGCTGTTATAACTTAGCGTCTGCTCCACAACAAGGCAAGCTGTTATAACTTAGCGTCTGCTCCACAACAAGGCAGCTGTTATAACTTAGCGTCTGCTCCACAACAAGGCAAGCTGTTATAACTCAGCGTCTGCTCCACAACAAGGCAAGCTGTTATAACTTAGCGTCTGCTGCACAACAAGGCAGCTGTTATAACTTAGCGTCTGCTGCACAACAAGGCAGCTGTTATAACTCAGCGTCTGCTCCACAACAAGGCAGCTGTTATAACTTAGCGTCTGCTCCACAACAAGGCAGCTGTTATAACTTAGCGTCTGCTCCACAACAAGGCAGCTGTTATAACTTAGCGTCTGCTCCACAAGGCAAGCTGTTATAACTTAGCGTCTGCTCCACAACAAGGCAAGCTGTTATAACTTAGCGTCTGCTCCACAACAAGGCAGCTGTTATAACTTAGCGTCTGCTCCACAACAAGGCAAGCTGTTATAACTTAGCGTCTGCTCCACAACAAGGCAAGCTGTTATAACTTAGCGTCTGCTCCACAACAAGGCAGCTGTTATAACTTAGCGTCTGCTCCACAACAAGGCAAGCTGTTATAACTTAGCGTCTGCTCCACAACAAAAGAAGAATCTAGATGTGCTACCAAAGACTCAGGGCTTTGAAAATAACATGAAACTAAGGCAGCATAAATATCTGAAAATTTCTATGCAGTTTTGTACTTGTGTTACAGGATGGATCTGGCCTGCAACATTGCTTTGGATGCCACGACAACTGTAGTGGTTGAAGAGAATAACAGGAAGGAAATAGACATTAAACGCTATGCTAAAGTTGAGAAGGTAAGATCTTATGAGAGTGCATGTGGACATCTGTGCATGTGGACATCTGAGAAAGAGTGTATGTAGGAGGGTTTTTGTATGGAGGAGTGTGTATGTCTACAGGTATGATGTAGATTTGAATGTATACATTTGCCATCTATGCTTTTGTGTTTTTACCCCTGAAATGTGCGTTCCGATGCTGAGAGGCGTAGGTCCCCATTGAAATCTGTAATCAGGTACAATTGAATGCTGCTTAACATCAAGTACAATGCCTCCAGCCAAGTGTGGCAGAATGGTAGGAAATTAATTCCCAAACACGAAACAGGACTCCTGTAATGCTATCAATGAACTTCAATGCGTCCAAACGGTAGTTAAATGCTGAAGGCCCGGAATATATACCGTGGTGTATTGTCGAACATTTTGATCCAAAATGAGAAAATGTGCAAATAATAGGACTCTTGGTGAAGACTCACCTAAACATGCCAACACTCGCTACCGCACACACACTCTTTTGAGAAATTCAAATGACATCTTCAAACAACGGGTAATATGAACATAACATGCTGCCCTGATACAAATTCACTGGTAGGGTGAAATATGAGCCTTTCAAAGGCCCTAATGTTAGGCAGGCCTGCAAGCCCAATTTGTAACCCATTAAAAATAAAATTTGTTCTTTATTTATTATTATAAAACTCTTGATATATAATGCTTAGGTAGAGAAAGTTTTCATTCACAGTTGTAACAGTTATAATGCCTTGTGTTATAATTAAAAATTAAGTTCCTTGTCTTGGTGCCTCATTTTGGGGGTTTCAAAAAAAAGAAGGGAAAAAAAAACTATTACGCATTTTGCAAAAAGTTACTAATTAGGGCTGATGATCTGAAAAGGTTTGATTGTGCAGCCTAGCTGTAAGCCGTACCATGACATGCTAATAGCCCTTTTAAAGTCAAATACAGAAAAAGCTAAGTATACTTATATACCCACTGGAACTGTTAAGACTTTCATACATAGCTTTCTTCTCGAGAGCAACAGAGCATAAGCAGCATACCAACATTATGCTACCACATACCACTACCAAACTTGGACACTGTCACATAGGGGTGTGTGAAAGTAACACATGTGAGATATGTTCAGCTACCCGAGATAGAATGGGGACTGATACTGTCTCACAGATCGCAGGATCAACCAGCACCTTGTATGAAATATTTTCAGATGCACACGATCAGTTGGTCTCGACATATTTACTAGAATAACACAGCACTAGTTACCAGCATGGGTGCTGCATCTGTGTAGAGGTAATATGAAGACTGATTGAAAAAAGTCTTGTTTTGCTTATAAAGAAGGATGAGTGACATTGCTTGATTTCTGCTTCTCAGATACCTGGTGGGATGATTGAGGACTCTAAAGTACTTAAGGGTGTCATGATCAACAAAGATGTGACTCATCCAAAAATGAGAAGGTTTGTGGTGTGTGTGTGTAATGTTATTTGTCTAGTTTGTAGATAAAACAATTTGTGGCCTAAACCATGGTATTGTAGCCTGTTGGCAACTGTCTGTCAGCTGAAAGTGTTTTATGTGCCACTTCATATGGTCTATGGTATTCTAAGAGTTAATAAACTGGGTAAGAGTGATCTAAGGTAACATTGGGGTTCTTTATTAATATTGTACCCCAGATGACGTCCCAGGACAGTCCAGCATTTTAGAGGGTGGTAAGACTGGTTTTCCGGGCTTTTTGATGATTTTAACGACCCCAAAACATCTAGAACTGGCCCTAACTAACCATAACCCACCTACATCCCACAAGAGAGTGCAGCCAAGGTTCTACAACTACATGCAGCCTATACTACCCCCTGAAATAATAGACTGTCCCAAGACCTGTAGATTTCCCTTGTTAAGGGTAGGATAATAATAAAGCACTAACGTTTGAGGCAGAATGTGGATTAACATGACTGGAGAAGGGCGGAGTGGTTTAATAAAATAAAGAGTCAGAATAGATTAACATGAAGAAAGATAAAAAGGGACATAGTGGATTAACACAAAAATTGGGGGGGGGGGGGGGCAAAGTGGATTAACATACAAATGTAAAAAAAAAAGTATGTGCTATGCATTTATTAATAAACACAGAAATTATAACTTGTCTGTTGCTAAAAAAATTAAAAGAGAAATAAAGTGAAAACTGAAATAAACTATAGTACAGAAAAATTAGACTAAACAAGCTATAATGTCAATATTGTTTTTTTTTCAGGCGAATTGAAAATCCTCGTATTCTCTTGTTGGACTGCAATCTGGAGTACAAAAAGGGAGAAAGTGTGGTATGAATAAGTATTTCAATGATACATATATGTATATATATATATATATATATATATATATATATATATATATATATATATATATATATATATATAATATGCATATAATGACTCTTATGGATGACATATTATAGGCAAAATATATAGTAAAGAAAGTAAAGGACCCCTCTTTCACACTGGATTAGATATCTTTGCTTGTCTCATGTTGTAAACCTTTCAAGACATGATGGTGTTCCAATAAGAACGAAGTTCCAGCAAAGAACGGGCTTTGATAACTGAATGTGACCATAACCAGCCAGCCTCCTAGAAGCCATGATGGGAACACATCGGGGAAAAGGCAGCCTGTTCACAACACTCATCGAAACTGAATCGACTAGTCACTTAGTCATAGAACCAAAATGAATTAAAGCTGAATGGACACAGCTGTGAAAATTATTTTCAAGAACAGCAGGAGCAGCTGGGAGAAGGTGTCAAGAAAACCTCAATCCTGCCAATTAAACCAGCAGACAGTACAGAAAGTTCAAGTAAATCTGACATCATAAGTAACCGACACCCAGCAGAAAATACAGCCCGGAATTAACAGAAGTATATAAACTGATGGTGAAACATCTGCATCAAGTTTCCACAAGAAACACAATCAGGCAGCACTAGAAGTAGAGGCCAGACAAAAGTTGCTTAAAGTGGAGTAAATGAGCAAATTCCAAATATTTTGAGAAACAAATGGAGCAGGTAATCAATTTGAACAGCCTGTAACATCAAAAGATCAAACAGCAGTTTGATATTAATTGCAGAACAATTTCGTTGTGAAGATGGGGCCTGATTGATTGAACCATATGTAGAATTTTAAAGTTTATACCATTGTGGCTGGACATGTTGTGATACATCTTTTAATAATATTTTGTAACTGAACGTGTCTGATGTGTTGATGAATTTCTGTTGCAGACAAACATTGAAATCTCACAGGAGCATGATTTCTCGTAAGTAAAATAGACTAGACAATTTTTGTTTTACAAACTTTTCTCTCTGTCATTTGTGGGTTGTCTTGGTGAATTGCTCAAGCTTTAATTTTTAGGCTGTCTTTGGTACATATGTGCAATTTTTCCAGAGGTAACGGTATGAAGATTGTGCAACACACACAGCATGATAAAGGCGGCTCGGTCAAGCCTTTCTGTATGGTTCTAGGGATCTTATTTTGGCAGGAAAAATATACTAGACAGACCTTACCCCCCACCAACAAGCATGTAGAAGGCTGTCTGCCTGAAGCAGAGAAACATCAACCAGAAGTGGACTAACAACTAAAACTTTTCCTGTGTTTACAACCGGTGAGCATTAAGAAGTAAAGAGAGACCAAGCCATATGGGGTTAAACCTAATGTAGTTAAATCAGTCCTTTGACTTTGATTGTGTATATGGTAGTTTACACATCACATTGGTACGTCTACTAGGTCATTCCCATAAAAGCTGTATTTCCTGACTTTTGATTACTGATCAAGAACCTCTCCTGGCAGTGGTGAAACCTTACAAGCTAGCTTGGTTTGGGCTGTTGGTGGGACTTGATTCGATTGCAAAGACTTCAAGGAACATTGGCAGGTAGTTAAAGAAGAGGAGGGAAAGAAGAACCTGGAATGACATCAGGAAAAAGACAAGAGTAGGTTATTTAGTTATTCATCAAGGTAAATTAAATCCTAGGTCTGCAGGCTGCATACTGTTGGCTACAAAAGAGATAGCCCATGATGTATGAGATGTTCAATATATGGAAGTGAGGTTAAAGTCATGAGCAGGATGTGACGATTCCTTGGGTGAGCCCAGTACCAGAGCACCATGTATTAGCTCTGCATTTGTGGAAGCCTCCTTGGATGGCGGGGAATGCTCATGTTCTGCCCCTGCCTTCTCTTGAGGGCTGATCAGCATTATGTGGCCTCTCTTGACCAGCCTGATTAGGGCACCACCTGTGACCTGGGAAATAAAGATGACCACACAACAATGAGACTGCCATGTCCTAACCGGGAAGGCTAACCCGGTCAACAAATGCCCACAGAAGTCGGATGTGTTCGCCGAAAGGTGCAAATATCGCAGCCATGCTGTAAACGGACACAGCGCAATTACATCTTCGGATGAACGCAGAGGAAGAAGAAGAAGACAGTTATTCATCAAGTGGAAGACAGAAAGATGGCGGGTTGTGTGTGCTAGTGCTTCCATCGATAACCTCCATGACTCTTAGCAGGTCAAGGGTTATTCTGTGTTATGATCACTAGCTTGTAAGTGGCTTTTTTTTTTCTTTTCTAGACTTTAGTAACTTTATGGTTGTTGCTCAGGATTATTTCTCCACGATACTTTTGTTAAAAACTCTAAATGATGAATTACTGATACATGTGATGCTTATTTGCAGGAAGATTCTGAAACTGGAAGAGGAATATATTGAGAAGATCTGCAGTGATATCATTGCATTGGGGCCCGACCTGGTGATCACAGAGAAAGGAGTGTCTGATCTGGCTCAGCATTATCTAGCCAAGGCCAACATCAGTGTGCTCAGGCGTGTTCGCAAAACTGACAATAATCGCATTGCCAGGTATTGAGCGCATCATTTGTTTACAGTTTGTTTTTGGTTTGTAAAGTTAAAAATAGAAGACTGCATGACTGAGGTTTGTAGTTAAATATGGATGAACGGTTGTTTTCATTTAGTTAACTGTAGATGTCCCCATGTCTTGTTTGTTTAGTTGAATATGGATGACTGATTGCGGTTTGTAGTTAAATGTGGATGACCATATTGTTGTTTCCATGTTTAATTCAGTTTACAATAGATAGCCACATGACTGATTTGTAAAGTTTCATTAGTTATGTGGCTTTTTCTTTTGCATTCATTTGAAGACGTAATTGTGTAGTGCCCCTTTTCAACATGGCTGCGATATTTGCGCCTTTCAGCAGACATATGACTTCTGCGGGCATTTGTTGCGTGGGTTAGCCTTCCCAGTTAGTTTTGTGGGACATATTAGGTATCTGGTTTGTAAAGCTTGGATTTTTAAGCTTTTGTAACAGTATGGTTCATAATGCTGAATGACTGATGACCAGTGGCTCATATACATGGGAGCCTGCATGCTAATCTGGAAAGTCCATCTATAAGCACAATTTTTAAGGAATGGTGAAAAGTAATTGCTGCTTTGTGATGCAAGTCTAAAGCTGATTTTGGCGAATAAGCCATGTGTACATGTGGATAAGCACCTAGGACAGCAGATCACCTCCCTCAAGACTGTCCCAGGTACAACATATCAAAGCAAACATTTTCGCCATGAGAAACACCGGTGCACACCAAACTTTACAGGTCGCTGATTGAATTATAACAGACAGTGAAGTTCACACCAGAGACAACTTTGCAGATATAGGCAATCTTTTTTAAGCAAACGAAAAGAAGTAAAGCTCATTAATTCTTAGGAGGAAATCATTTTTGGGGCTCCTAAAGTTTCAGACCATATGTACCAGATACAATCCCAGGAAGACTTTTTTAATTTACTGAAAACTTACCACCCTTGATTATTTCTTCTGTGCAAGATTTGCTGTAGCAGGAATGATTGCTTCAGTTAAGACATGTGGATTAAGTGCTAAGTAGATCCTGCAAGATTATGCTGTCTAAAAATAATATACTGGCTTCTTGAACCAATACTGAATTTCAGACTTTAAAATTAAAGGGAAACTGCAAACAAAAATGGTCAAGTTCAAGGGGATCACCTTTTGGTTATCATCAGAGGCAGCAGTCTTAGAAAGAGGAGGGAAATCTTCATATTATATGTTATTGAGAAAGGTTCAGTCTTGCGGGTCATTTTGCTAAAAGTGTGTTGTCACTTCACTGATTGCAGCTGGCTGATTGTCAGAAGCATTGATGAAAATGAAGTGTTTGTTGCAGTGAAGATGTGATTACTTTTTTAAACATTGATTCAGGGCTTGTGGAGCAACAGTTGCTAATCGCACTGATGAACTGAAGGAAGAGGACATTGGTACTGGATGTGGGCTGTTTGAAGTTGAGCAAATTGGAGATGAGTAAGTATTTTTATTTTGTAAAGGCTTACTTCTGAAAATGATCTGCTTTGGTGTTATGCTGGAGTCTGTTAATGATGGCATGCCTAGAATCTGTTGTGTTAACTCTGCAACTGCATAACCTCATTGCAAATGTCCTGTTCCAGTACTAGTCTTGTTACACACCACTAGGAAAGAGAAAAGAGAGCTCCACAATCTCCTTAGAAATCATACTTTGGTAATGGGTATATAGAAGAGACTCTACTCTCACTCTAATAGGTGGCAGCTCGGGTCGGGTGGAGGAAGTGGCTCGAGGAGTTAACGGCCAACCCACAAACACTGGAGAAGTGCATGACCCACCGCCTGTCCATCTTTGCTGTAGAGGACAGTCGGTTGTTCAAGAGTGTGATTGTAGGCGGCAGGTTTATCATTAAGGTAATGTGACCATTCCATCTTAGCATCTGTCATGACATGATGCCCAGTGGTTTGTATGCCTACTTGGACGGCTCGCACATACCCTAGGATAAGTTCCAACTGAAGCACCCTTTGCACCACATGCTTTTCAGGAAAAAGGGTAATAGGCTAAAAAGGGGCGTATCATGGCAGAGGATGAAATCGGTTTAGGAATGGCACTATTAACTGCGAGATGCTGGTGAATATGTTTAAGGTGGAGTCTGTGCACCTATGGATGTGTCCAGAGTGCTGTGAAGATAATCCAACTCGTAAATAATGGCTGCCTGTTAACCCTGTGGTCATTGTTCAAATCTTATCAGGGCAGATTGTTAAATCTGACCTGGGCTTTCATGTCATTCCAGTGTAAAACAAGTACCACCAAATGTTCTGGAGATGCAAAAGTGATGTCCAGTTAGGGATGTCCACTAAGTGCTGAATGGTCTATAAAGATTGAGAGTTAATGCCATATACCCACTGCAGCTCAAGGTGTGGAAACAAGTGAATGGTCTATAAAGATTGAGAGTTAATGCCATATACCCACTGCAGCTCAAGGTGTGGAAACAAGGTTCTTTGGTCATACCTCCTCGCTCCTCTCTCTGTGGCTTGGCCTAGAATATTCTGTGTGTGTGTGTGTGTGCTCATGAGCTTATATTTGTGCATGTAAGCGTGCCAGCTTACTACACATCAGTGTGTTTATCCATGCACGTGTGCACAAATCAAGCACTGCTCATGCAAGGCACAACATTAAAAATTGCAAAAAAGAACTCGAGAAATGCTTGAAAAGTCTGAAAAAAGTTGATGATTTTGGCTATGAACTGTCCATACTGACAGCACTATTTAGCCTGGTATCTAAGAAATGAATTTACAAGCTAGAGGTGGAATTTGTTTTATGAATGCTTTTATGTATGTTAAAAATAGAGTTGTACAGAATTTCTCGTTTTACCACTGGAGTTGTGTGACTTGTAACACACCATATGTTTTCCTCTCTTTCCTAGGTACTTTACATTTTTGACAGAATGTAGAAATCCCAAAGCTTGCACCATTCTCTTGCGAGGGGCCAGTAAGGATATACTGAATGAGGTTGAGAGGAATCTTCAAGATGCCATGAATGTTGCTCGAAATGTCATGGTCGATCCTTTCCTTGTACCTGGTGGAGGTGCCACTGAGATGGCACTTGCTCAGGTATGTTAAACACAGACATATCAATTGTTGCACTTAAAAAACAAAAACAGTATTAGAGATATTAACTGGTATTGATCACAGAAGTGAAAATTGGAAGAAGAAAGTTTGAATCCCGGTGTGGACATTATTATATCTGGTGCTATCACATAGTGCCCACATTGGGTTATTCCATTCTGATTTTATCCTGTGCAGTCCTGGTGAGTGTATGACTAAAGTTTATTTTGTCTAGTTTGTCCTTTAATCGCTATTTCATTTGACTATCAGCAACAATAAATACCAGTGAATTGGTTATCTCAGTCCCCATTGCGACCCAGGTCCCATTTTGTGAGACAAGCATATCGTAAAAAAGGCGACTAATTAGGGGTTTTTCCTTGGAAGTCGGAGTTCATCTTCCTGAGAGGAGGAAAAAAATAACACATCTGCTGCCTTCAAGTTAATCTGGATGTGTTCAATTGAGGTTTTATTGTAGTACTGATTCTGACATTCAGTGAAAGTTGTCTGTTACATATAAATTTACAATGTAGACATTTCTGTAGCACAGTGGATAGCTCCCTGGACTTTTAATCCAAAGGTCGCGGGTTTAAATCACTAGGAGTGCTGCTTTAAGAGAGGCTCGCCGAGCGGTTACGGTGTTGGGGCTTTCATGCGGGAGACCCGAGTTTGACCAGTAAGTTGAAAGGCTTTCACTATCTGGGGCAGAATAAAACATCCTAACCTGCGCAAAATATCCTTTCGAGCCACAGTCGCGTGTCAATTGCACACTTCCGGCGACTTAATTTGCTGTTCTCCGGCGGTTTTCAGGCGACCACCGCCACGAGTCCGCATCTTTTGAAGCTTTGCTAATGAGTCCTAGCCATCTAGTTTAGCCCAATCCACACCGCGTGAGCGACTCGTGGCGGCAGTCGCCGGAGAACCGGTCACCTGGCTGTGGCTCGAAATATATTTTGCGGCCGACATCTTTGCCAACCATTATTCAGAGGATAGCCAAATTTTCATAAATAAATAGTAATTTGTGAACAGTCTTCTTCTTCCCTTTTTCGCCTGCTGTAAACTCTGACATAATTGTTCATCCGCCACTGGACTTTGATCTTGTTCCATGATCTTAAGTGTTGTGTGCAAATCTGTTTTACAGATCTGGCATGTGTGTGCAGACTATTGATTCCTCACCTTTTAGGCAGATGCACTCTGACTTTGAAGGAAATGTGGATCATATCTTCATTGACCAGGTTCCTGGTTGAGAATCTGTTTCTAGTATGATCACAGAGATTTGCAGCTGGGTCTTAACACTGTGACCCTTGCTCCTCATGCACCACGACGTGTGGTTGGTTTAGCACCTCACACCCCAGCAGTCAGTGATTTTGATAGTAAAAGTAAAATAACTAGATATATAACAAACATTTAGTGTCAGTGAATTAATAGATTTCTCTTGTTGGGTCTGTGCCAGGCTCTAAATGAGAGAGCTAAAGGAATCACCGGGGTTCACCAGTGGCCGTATCGAGCAATTTCCAGAGCTATGGAAGTCATCCCCAGAACACTTATCCAGAACTGTGGAGCAAGCACCATCAGAGTTCTCACTGCCCTCAGAGTGAGTATGAGTTTTTAAACTATTATAGAACTTGTGTTCGTTTATGTGCGGTTTCTGTCATCACCATCATCATCTAGTTGTACCATTATGTGTCACATCAGGCTAGCAGTCTATTCTTTTACTCTATTCTATCATGTGCAGTATGTTCGATAGCATTAAAGGAAAAGTGCGGCACATTTGGCATCCTCGTTAATGTTCGTTTCTTTTTGACATCTATGCTCTCTTAGTGCTTTTATTTCCTTTTTTAGTGCCTGTCTAGTGATTCTGTGTTTGTTTCTTGTCAGGATGTGTCTCATATAGCACTGTCTTCTTTCTTTTATTAATATAGCTGCTGTTACCAGTGGTTGCCCAGACATTTCTCTTATTTCACCTCTCCTAAATTCATCCCATTTATGCGAATTTTATCAAAATTGTCCTCACTTTCTTTAGCAGTAATATAATTTATATTTACTGTTAAGTCACATCTGTTCATGACTAAAGCATAGCATAGTGTCCCAAATTAAATGAGTGAGCGGTGCAAATATTTTCGATGTTGGTATTTTATGTCTGGTTTATATTTTTTTCTGACTCATCTATCACTTCAGTACCTTCTATTCCAAAATGCATTTTAATGTTTATATTTGTTCCAAGTGTAAATGTGGGTAATTATGTAAGAAGAAAAAAATAGCTACAAATACAACCTGTATTTAATATTGTACATGACAGCATAATCAGAGAGCTAGCTACTGCAGTTATATTGTGTACATTAGAATCTGGTAATGTTATGTCTTGACAGTGGTTACCTTTATAGTTGTATTCTTGTTGAACACTGGCTGGCATTGCTTTGAAAGACATATTAAAAGCATGTCATGGAATTTATGCCCAGGATATTCTGGTGTGTTGGGTAATAAACGGTAATAAACAGACCAACAGCTGTTGATCTGGGCAGCGAGCTACCCTCTTGGATTAAGCTGGGGGTGCAACAGCACAGGCAGAGAATCCATACTTGGAAAAACTAATTCTTTAGGAAGGAAGGGGAGGGGTTGGGCAGTTTTCAGCGCTCAAGAATAAGACAGGCAGACTTTTAATCAGGCACCAAGCACTCAGTATGGTAACGCTGGAAGGACACAGCATGTGTGGCAATGTCCCAGTTGCACAGTTCTTGATTCATTCATTTGCACTGTCAGATGTCACCACCACCTGTGGCTTAGGGGGTTGTCATTGCATTTTTACAATATTGACATGCCAAGGCTTGGAGTCAGATGCATATAATTTGATGAAAGGCATCTTTATTTCGAATTTGATGTCCGCCCCATTCGGAAAGCCGTGGCAGACTACAAAACGTAAATGTGCCTACTGAAATAACATGTTAACCAATCTTATTCTTTTTCTAAATGTTTACTAGCTGTAAACTCTGGCATAAAGTTCTGGTTGTTCGTCCACTTCTGAACTTTAGTCTTGTTGCCGAAATTTTTTTGTGTAGAAACATCTGTTTGACAGATCTGACTTATTTGTGTGCATTCTGTTGGTTCCTTGCCTCCCAGGCAGATGCACTTTGAAGGAAACTCACATAATTAGTTGCTCTCCCCCCACCCACCCACACACACACATGCACACACACACACACACACACGCAAGGTATGTAACTAACTGTCAACTTACCCTTTATTTTGACCTGTCTATTCTCACTTAAGATGTAAATGGCTACATCTCTACTAGTACCTTACTGAAGAGAATCAGTGTGTCGGTAACATTCTACATATGCTAGACTTCTGTTGTCATGTTTTTAATTTGTAACATACATATATGTTGTTTGCACAGGCCAAGCATGCTCTACCAAATAATTCAACTTGGGGCATTGACGGAAACACTGGTAACATTGTGGACATGAAAACTTTTGGAGTCTGGGAGCCAATCTCTGTGAAACAGCAAGTGTTCAAGACTGCCATTGAGGTAACATTGGCTATGCTTATAACTTAGACTGTTAGTCTTCTTTACCTTATACCTTTGAGAGATAATTTTAAGGAGCATTATCTTAAGATGATGTAGGGAGTTTTGTTTTATTATACCAAATACTGACTTGCAGACCATTGCTTGTTGGTGTAGTTATGGTTAATTATACTTTGTTTTTCTGTTTTAATTTATCTTCCTTTCTTCCGTTTATTACTCTCATGGCTGCTACATGTTTTGACTATCCTGAGATTACAAAATCTCAAGCTGTCAGTGCATAATCCCAGGAGACCTCATTCAGCCTCCAAGGAAGTGATAAATGAGGGTACCCATTACGACTGCATCAGCCTGGAGTAATCTGTGCTGTACTGTAAAGGATGATGACTCATCTACATTGTTGTAAATTATGTCACAAAAATGGGGTAGAAAAGCTGGCAGAATGTACTCTAGTATTTATGTGCTAGTGCTAAATATAACCTGGCAGAAGTTTCGTACACAATTTTGACACATTTTGTTTTGTTGTTCTACTTGCAGACTGCCATTCTTCTGTTGCGCATTGATGACATTGTATCTGGTGTCAAGAAACAAGGAGGCTCCGGGGATGGCCCCTCTCAGGAGGCTGCCCAGCCGTCTGAAGGCCCCGAGCCTTGATGCCGGACACCATTGACCTAGTTTTTGAAACCAGTGTTTCTTTGTCTGATATGTGTACTTTTCAGTGTGGTTTTAGTATCTGTTTGCAACATGCATTTTTTTTTTTGGGTCGATATAAATTTTTTTTGCTGCAGTTCTATGTCATTAGTTCTATTCAGAATGATATAACATCTTTATTTAAGTAATTATGATGTTGTGGTTGCTGCCTGAAAACATTGCAGTTGTCAAGTTAAGTTATCCTTTCTTCAAACCTTTTGATTAGCTCTAACCAACAGTTGGCTTGGGAATAGGGCCAGAAGGGACACAAGCCAGAACATAGTTTGTCCGTTTTCAGTGAACGGTCAAACTTATTACAAGATTTGTCTCAAGTCATGTTAGGGCAGTTGTCATATATTATAACATAAATTATGTAAATTAAAGTTATGCAGAATTATTTTCTTTTTGTCTCTAATATTTGGTTCACAAGACATTTTCTACGTTCTCATATTTTACATAAAAAAATAAAAAGATTAAATGTTCTTTTTGTGGGCCTGTTTTCTGTAAGCGTTTTATTAATAGATTTGTATATCTTGAAGCAAGCGAGTTTTAAGAGTAGTAGTAGAGCCAGTGCTGATGTACCGGGGAATATCGTGGACAGTAAGCCGATTGGTGAACAGTTATGTGGAAGCTACAGAGATGGTTTTATGGACAAAGCATGAGAACTACTACAATTACAGAAAAGCTCAGTCTTCATGCCTCTGTTTTGGTCTGTTACAGCTACATGGTATCTGAACTGGTTGACATCATGATCTGGTGTTTCTTCTCCTCTCTTAATCACCATGTTTTTAGTTTTGGAGACACGATGGTCATCCATCTCTTCTCAAGCTCTTCCAGAATTGTAAGCTGGATTGAAGGTGTGCCTCTGATTTATCTATCAGGGCCACATCGTCTGCAAGTGCCAGCTCTGATATACAGGTTGGTCTCATTTTCAGTACCCTACTGAGTTTGTCTTCTTCTTACAGGTCTTGATGACATCATCCATCATAAGATAGAAGATGCAAGTGAGAGAATAACACCTTGTCTAACAACGTTCTTCTGACTTTTGGTCTGCTGTCCTAATTTCTGCATTTTTTGTAGATACTCTGTATTGCATTGATCAGGGGTGCTGGATTGTTTTTCCTTTGCCAAGCAGTCTCAGGGCGTACACTAGGGAACCTTATCAAATGCCTTTTCTAGATCCCCAATCTTAGAGGCATCTCATCTCTTATATTCAAGGTTTTTTTTTTTTTTTTTAAATAATGTCAGAGTGTGAAAATAAGGTATTGGGTACTTTGGTTTGCTCTGAAGCCGCATTGGGCCTGATCCAGCTGGGGCTCTGCTGGACTTGTAAGTCCCTGCTCGAGAGTTCTAGAGTAACTTTTACCAGGAACACTGAGGAGACATATGCCTCTGTTGTTTTCACATTGTCTGTTATCACCCTTTTTAAATAAAGGTATAATGATGGCAATCCCCCAAGTTTTTGGTATAGTTTTACTACACCAGGCTGCCTGGAGAACCTTATAGAGAAGTGGCTCACTTGTGACTTTCATATATTTGAACATCTCTGGTGTTACACCATCATGTCCTGCTGCTCCCCCCCCTTTCCAACTTATTCTTCTCAATAGCCGCCTTTCATTCTGATGTTATCATCATGGATGATTTCCTTCTCCGTAGAGAGGTTCATTATTTCTGGGTCATGACTTTCCTCAACATCAAGGAGCTCTGAGAAGTATTCTTTCCATCTATCTATGATATCATTTGTTGTAGTAAGCAGAGTTCCTTCCTTGTCTCTTATGAATTTCAGCTGGCGCTCATTTTCTTTCCTGATGTTCTTGAGGGTCATATAGAACATATTCTTTTATTTTCTCATGCATTCTTTTCCAACTTTCTCCAAATTCTTTCCATGATTTCTGCTTTGCATCTAAGCACCATATTTGTGGCCTCTGTTCTGAGTGTTGCATATTATTTCTTTAGGTGTGTTCCTAACTTGCCAGGTATTGCTTCTATGCCTTTTTCTTTTCTTATATTTTCTCTCACCCAATGCCTATGTTCTGTAAACTCTCTGGTATCTTCTAGTCGTAGTTTAAAACAAACAGGTGGTTAGCCTGTTGTGCCTTTGCAGGGTGGAGGCGCTGTCTCCATGCAGTCCGTCTGCCTGATTCATGGTTACCCACTACTTCTGGAGACCCATGAATCACTCGGGTTCAGCCAGACCCTCCTCCTTTTACAGCCGGGCTTGGGACCGGTCTTGGTGAAGTTATATCCGAGTTCCTCGACTGTGTATTGCTCCTGGTCTTACATCAAAGACACCAACCATGCTATCTCTGTCTTTCAATCGATCCGGTTCACCTCTTTCTCTAGATACATCTTCACCTTAGATGTTACCTCTCTCTACACGTCTGTTACACATTCTGATGGCCTCCAGGCTTTGCGGTTCTTTCTAGATAATAGTCTGTCCTGCTATATCCACGGACCCTTTGATACGCCTGGCCGAGTTGGTGCTCACTCTAAACTCTTAGTTTAATGGTCAGTGTTTCAATCCATCAGATTGGCAGCTACTGTCATCGTCCCGCTGTGGAAAAATAAAGGAACTAAAAGGGAATGTACTAATTACAGAGGAATATTACTTCTCAGTCACACTGGGAAAATGTATGTTAAGATCATCAAAAAAAGGGTAAGACCATTGATAGACTATCAACTTTCAGAAGCACAGATGGGCTTTCGACGAAACAGAAGTTGCACAGATGCCATTTATACATTGAGACAGCTATCAGAGAGGGCAATAGAACATGATAAGACATGTTTGTTCACATTCATAGACCAAGAAAAAGCCTTTGAGTCGACAGGAATATGTTGTGGGAATGTATGGGAAAAAAGGAATCAGCAATCATCTCATTAAAATTTGCAAAAGCGTAGTAAATGCTGCATAAGATCGAAGGCAGGATTGTCAAGAACTTTTATAGTGAACTCTGGTGTGCGTCAGGGCTGTGTACTATTGCCGCTTCTTTTTATAACATAGATGGATACCATATGTAGCGAAACAAACTTTAATCATGAAGAAGATATTACAGAATTACTATTCGCCGACGACCAGGTACTCATAGCAGAAAATACGGAATGCCCACAGAACCACCTAAATCAATTTAGTAACAAAGGGGAGGAATATAATATGAAAATAAACACTACAGAGACAATGATGATAGGAAGACATAAGACAATTTAGAAATACAATTAAAAAACAACAAACAGAGGAATTTAAGTATTTGGGAGCAATTTTCACATCCGACGGAAAACTGGACAGAGAAATTAGCTCCAGATGTGCCAAGGCTAATCAAGAATTGGGGCAACTATCTCCCCTGTTGACACACAAGCAAATACCTCGGAGTACTAAAGTGAATCTTATCAGAACTATTTTTTTGGTCAACACTATGCTATCAATGCCAAACGTGGACACTTACATCCTCCAATGAACGTAAAATTGTGACAACAGAGATGAAAAGCCTTAAAAGAGCTGCAGGAGTCTTACAGGTCATCAAAGAACGAACGAACGAACAAACTTTATTTTCAAAGGGTTACAAATTGGGCACGCAGGCCTGTCTGACATTCGGCCCTTCTAAGTACTCATTTTTCAGAGTACCAATACCTGTTATCAATAATGCATGTTATGGATTTAAAAAAGAAATATAAATTATGGTATAATGCATACACACATGTGTACACAATCATACACACTCACACACATGTATACATACTCCTATGTTCTCATACACGCGAACTCATACACAGACATACGTGATACATACACACATGCATCTACATACATGTACAAGCATACACATACATAGACATAAATGCACAGACAGAAAACACACACACACACACACACATAGTTATGGATATACATGTACACACGCACATTCCATACACAGACATCTATACATGCACCCATGCATACACACAAACCATCACATGTACAGACACCAACATATGCCCAAAACCACACATTTACACTTACATGAATACATACACCCACATAAATGTATGCATACATGTATACATATATTCAGACATACATACATACACATACATACACACATTTATACATAAACTCACATCTTTACACACATACATACATACGTAAATATACTTTCATATATCCACATGCATACACACACAATCACACACACACATGCATACTTGCATGCTTTTATAAATACACAAACACCGACATACCTACACAGCTACATATACCTGCATACACTCACATTATATATAGATATACACACACAGATACAATCACATACTTACACAGATACATTTACATTCATACATACAGACATACATAATACATACATGCACCTACGTACATATACGCACACATACACACATCCACATGTATACATACATAGGCTAAATCTGCATGCATACATAATACAAACAAACAATCTGCATGCATACATAAATCAAACATACATCAACATACATATGCAAACATAAAACACACACATCTATTTACATAGACATACATGCGCGCGCACACACACACATGCATACATACACACTTACTTACAAACATACATACATTCTTGCAAACACACATAAATTCACACACATACTTACACAGATACATATACATACATACATCCACCAACATGCATACAAACTCGCATACAAGCATACATACACACACATAACATACATACACACATATGCATACATACAGACATAAATAATCACACAGACACCCTCATACAAACATTCACTTATGTATGCCTGCATACATGCATACATAATACAGACACACACATATACAATCACACATACACCCATATCCTTACAACTTAACATACATAAATACACACACATACTTATAAGCCTAAAAATACAGACATATATCCACAAATGAAGTGGTTTGGATACCTAACAAGAATGTCCTGGTACTATCTGCCACAGCGAGTCACACTAAAACGTTACAACGGGTA